CCATCTGACAGGCTTCTGTTTCAGTTGTTCAGCAGCCAGTCACTGATGAAAACTATTTTGTTTGTTTTGCAACAAATCTATTATTACATGTGCATACTGCCAAATAACTGCAATATGGCAATATGAGGAAGCTGAATTATGCATGTTTAGTTAATCTGCAGTATCTATACTTATAGTTATTGTTCTTTACGCTTTAGAGGAACAAGCCCAAGAAGGGCCTCATGTTTGTTAAGGCTGATTCTTTATGACCAAGACCACACACTGCATGAGAAAACCTGAATCTAGACATTTAGATTTTGCTTGAATATCTTTCTGTGTAATATTTGAAGGGTTACAGTTACGGAATTGGAATGATTCAGACAGACGTGGTGTCTGACAAAATAAATGAGACTATGAAATACTGAACTATAAGAAAGCAGTAGATTTTTGGGAGTAAGCAACATGTGATCTACCAGATTCTTGATTTCTGTCATGAGTCTGGTAAAGTAACTGCTTGTTTACGTTCAGCTTTGTTCTTGGCATCATTTTCCCTAATTTCTTCCACCTGTGCAGCTCCACCCATTCTCTTCACTGCTCAGGTTTACTGCCTGCTCTCCTGCCTATTTAACTGTTGTGTGAGTTCCTTCCTTATCTCCCTGATCATCACCTCATCGGCTCCACAGATTCCTCGTCACTGCCTTGCCTGTGCCGGATATCTCTGCTTTCCGACCTTTGGACACTGACCATGTTTTTGCCCCTTGGTTCTAAATTGGATCCTTAGGCTTGTATCTGCCTCCACGGTTCTGACCCAGTTTCTGTTCCTTGGTTTATGGTTCTTGTCTTCCCCACAGATCCTTTGTGTTTCTCACCTGTCTTCACAGTTCTAACCACAGCCCTGATTCTAGACCTCTGAGCCCTGCCCTGTCCACAGGTTTTCAAACCTGTAGTTTGGTTATTATGTACCTTTGTTTCCCTATAACCACATTGAACGGACTTCTGTTTTCAGCACAGCAGACCTGTTGGTTCTTCCATCTTAAAGAAGGAACCAAAACTCAGTCTAGATGGCAGTTTCTGTCATATTTGTGTGACCCATTAACATGGGGCAAAGAAAGGTTAACAAGGATTTTACTTAAGACTTTAATCCACGATTTTATAGGATAAGTTTACTCAGCAGTCTGTGGAGTGGACCGTGAAACAGGAGGGAAATAACTGGATAATTTATTGGAAATTGCTCCAAATGAGCTTTATGAGAATAGTTTTCAACTGTTCGCCGCTTCATAGTTCTCCACTGCATTTCATATTCAAATATTGTACTTTCTACTCCACTACATTTTAAGGAAGCTGCTTTTTACTTGTTCCTTTTGTATCAGCTTAGCCCTGTATCCCCTGTTTCTGTTTTTCTTTCTTGAAATGGCAGATAGCAGCTCTTAGGATTGCATTTGTAGACTGTTGTTTTAGAAATTAGCATGACATTCCACAAATGTGAGAAACTCAGTGTTGATATTATTTGTATTTTATAAATTTTATAAAGGCATTAGTTGTTGCCATGTGACCAAGTTAAGATGAGTCTCAAATCAGGCTTGCTTTTTCTTTGTGGTTATAGATTCAACCTCTATTCCACAGTGAAAATGTGAGGAGAATCAAGACTCCTGTTTTATTTTTGGTTTGTTTTTAAAGAAAACATTTTTATCACAATAGCTTTCCTTATTTTTGTGTCATTTTTATGCTGAAGTTCTTTACCGATGATGTATAATTTGTAGTAGGTAGGGCTTAAGTATTTTCAAAAGTGAGTAGTTTCATACTTTAAATTAATAGGATGTTTAATCGAGTAAATTGTACTTGTAGTTGAGTAAAATTTAACTATCAGTATCAATACTTTTACTCAAGTAGTACTGTTGAGTACTTTGTCCACCACTGCATAAAACAAAGTAGGCGTTAAAGAAGAGGATCAGCCTCATCGGTACCGATCAGCTGTGTGAGGACATGTGGTAGAAGCATATCTGGATGTTGCTGAGATTTCCAGGAGTCCTAAGGAGAGAGATCGCCCAGGAAGAGAAAACATAAAATGAGTTCTAAAAAGGTAGTTATAAATATAGACTTGATCTTAGGACTGTAGCCTGTGGTGCTGCAGACCTGATAATATTTCTCAATCAAGATGAACAGCATGTATATAAGGAGGTAAAGGATAATTTCTCTTCACTGGATGATTACCCCTGATGGTATTCCAGCCAAAGACCTAAACCAGGAATATAGTTCTAGTTGAAATTTATCTTTTTTATGTCCCTGTTAATGTGGAGTTATTGTTTCAGGCAACCTCTTGACCTCTGGGTCTGCAAAACCCGCTGAATCAAACCCCAAGAGGCCCATGCTACCTCCCTTTCATCCCTCAGGTAAGCAAATCACCCTGTCAACCAACTCCTTCAGCCTGCTTTCTCCCTTCAGACCAACCACAAAGTTCAGCGGTCTTCCTGAAGCTCTCCACTTAAAACTCACTGGTTCTCTGTGTGATTCTGCATGTGGGTTAAAATAAAAAAAAAACTACAAACCAACATGCCAGTAAACAAGAACACGTCCCCATTTTCATGAAGACACCATGATGCAAACCCTTTTTCTCTTATTTCTGAATTTCTCAGTATTCAGTCGTGCTTTTACTAATTTTACTGTTTTTCATGTGGATCATCCCCTCTAGTCACTTCCCTTTGTCTTTCTTCGAAATGTTTTCATGGTTCGTTTTATTTATAACCATTCCTCTCAGTCACTGAGTTTATATTTTCCTATAGCTGCTGCTCATTAATCAGACTGACCTCTTTTCAGGCGCAGTAATATTAATCCAGGTTTAGCAGATCCCAGTATATTTCTATCTCTTCAAATTTCCTTCAGCTGACCTCATAGCCCAAAAGTCACAATGAGTTAATCAGCAAATAAATGTCATTTATTTGCTGCCACAACAGCAATATGTTCACCTAAACTGTTGGGATCTGGAGGCTTGTCTAACCTTCTCCACCAGAGGGCGCCTGAGATCTTCCTCCTGAGGGCGTGAGCTGACTTCGACACACCTGTTTTCTATCTGCTCATCATGAGGCATACTTAAGGAGGAGGAGGCTGACACTTCCCTGCCAGAGTGTTTGCCAGTAATGGTACCAGCAAAACCTGAGCCAGCTAATCTGACCAGTTCTCTGACTTTCTGTGTACTAGTCTGACCCTGTGTTCCTCTGCCTCTCAGATCCTGACTTATCTGGAATTCAGTCTAACACTGGAGAAAAACAATCACTGCCTGGAACCTGCCTGTCTGCCCTCCGCCTCAGCCTCTGCCTCTGCCCTCAGCCCTCAGCCTGCCGACTAGCCTCTGGACCCCTTCAGAGTAGGTATTAATCCAAGTCACCTTAAAACTGCAAGTTTCCTGGATCCACTCTAACTGATCCGTCCTCCTCTAGTGGCTTCCCTCCTGTGACCAGTCTGACGAGCCAAGATCATGTGCACAATTATTGTAAACTTTGTGAATAAACTATTTAACCTTTTCCCTGTCTGAAGAGTGATTCTGCATGTGGGTTAGACGCTTAGACCCCAACATGACATAAACTCGATTTAACCATTTTCCCTTCCACATTACCAACAGCATTTTATTAATTTCAATCAAGCCCTCTATGTAGCATCCCCACATCCTGCACCTGTCCAAACTTGCAACTTGGAGCTTCCTTGTTTTCCAATGGGGTTTGAGGAAGATCTGACTCAGCTGGTGGCATTTTCTAAGACTTTGAAGAGGCTGAGAACAGCTGATCTCCTTTGGTCACAGTTGCCAGAGGGGGTAAAGGTTTAGCCTTCTCTGACAGAGCAATCATTACTCAGTTCAACATGGATGAAAGGAAAATCACCAAGGCTCCTAAAGAGTCGTAGGGTAAATAGTCCGAAAGCGTCACAGACTGTTTGCACTAGGTTCTCAGCCTTTGAGATCTTTTTTTCAGGTCGAGTAGTTTAAAGAAAGAATGTAATATGTCATCATAAAAAGCAAGCTTCAGTCAAACATGTTCTGCAGACATCTGAAAGCCTTTAGGTCTCCATCGGTCACGGCATCATATAGAGCTTCCATAATAGGATCCGTATCTGCAATAAATTATTTTTAGTCTTTGTGGCATTATACATTACATTTGTCTCATTTTACACCTAAAATATGAACATCACATACAAGATTCTTTTCTTTCTTGCATTTTCATTACTTTTTGATTTTCGCTTATTGTATGTAAAACCAGTTATAGCACCTGAGAGTTATATAATTCTTCAGCAGATCATTTACTGTAATCCAGGTTTTCACCTAGTGGCTCTCTGGATATCACCTTGCTTTCTGCCTATCAGTCTGTTTTCTCTGGTGTTTTCTAAACAAAATAAATTGAAACTAACCCTGTCTTTGTTGCCTGCTGTTGGTGTAAAATGTCAGAGTTAGAGATCAAGTTACATAGAATTCATCCCGGAAGGTTTTATATACCCAAATGAATTCAAAGTTTTTTTTCTATAAAACGCTCATTGAACACAAAGAGCAAATTTTTGTATACAACCAGTTAAAGGGTAATGATAGGTTAAAAAAAACACAGCTCAAAGAACAGCTATATGAGACACTTCAAAAAATTATAATAAAGTACTGAAATGCAACAGATCGGAGGGGAAACATAAAGAGGTACAATTCAGGACTGCCTGATTAAAGTGATTAATTGCGGGAAAAAGTTGCAGATTTTTTTTGTCTTTTGGGTTTGACTTTGCTATTTTTTATTTCCATTTTTTTTTTTTTCTATTTCACGAGTTTCTCTGCTTTCTTTTTTCTGCAAGTACAACTATTTCAACTATTTGCAGAGTTACTGTGCAAATATTCTTCTACAATAACTGCACTGATACACATAGGTTTTAAAAATCTTTTTTTTTTTTTTCTGTCATTTACATGATAAATCCCAGCCTGCTGGTCTTGGACAAGTGCCCTTGCATAGAGGTCAGAGGAGAAGCTCAAGTCGCAGGGTTTTTCCAGAGGGATGTGATTCCCGAAGTTTATAGTTATTGTAAGAAGCAAGAAAGGAAACTGAAACTGCCCTTTCTAGGCTTTTAAATAGGAGCACTTGCACATAAACCTCAGTAGTGAGACATCCTTTGTGGCAGAAGCTGTTCTTAGGAGAACTTTCCTCATCAGGCAAAATCAGCCTCCAGACTGACCAAATACCTGACCCAAGAGAAGCTTGTTAAGACATGGCTCCTTTTGGTGATGCAAAGCTCTTTTTTGGCATCTTTTTCATCGTCTGCTGCTT